AGCCTGGCGCCCGCTAACGTCTTCGTCCGTTCCAGGGTGCGGGTGTGTGCGTGGGCACGAGTGACCAGGCGACCTGGGAAGGCGGACTCCGGTGTTGGAAATGATTCCCCTTTGGGGGGTGGGCCTAGTTGGGAGAAGACGTCGCTCGGTACGTGCTGATGGGTGCCTTTTTTCCGAGATGTTGAGTTGAATGTACGTTGTCATAGCCACGGCAACATGTTGCCTCTATTGTCACGTTGGGTCTTAATGTAAAAGGCTTGGATATGGGAAGTCCAAGTCACATACCTGTATTTTCGAGTCGGAATCTCGCCCGCGTGTAGCCTCGACCTGCTGAGTTCAGGGGATCCTTCTGCCTTAGTCTCCATAGTAGATGGCACCAGAGGCATGCGCCACCACATTCGGCTACTTTTTGGTTTGTTGTAGACAGGAGATCTCAGGCAATCCTCTCACCTCTGCCTCCCAAAGTGCTGGGATTGTGCATGGCCACCGTGCCAGCTAAGAAGAAAGGCCCGTGTCTTTTTTAAATTAGAAACATAAACCTTTACTAAAGCCAACTTCTCCTCTTACTTTCTCCTGTAACAGCACAAGAATTAAATTCTCTAGACAAAAGTGGATTGGTTCTTGGCTCTGGCACATAACTGATACTGGACTGAGAGATGTACTAACTAGTTCCCAATTGGCAGGGCAGAGCGAAGAGTACATGGTAGTCTAAAATTGCCCATCTGTGGTCTGGAAAATAATGGAAGCCTGTAATTAATTGAACATCTTAACTATTGAACCTGGTTAGTGGTTCAAATAAACATTTAATTTATTAACCATTTATCTGTATGATTCCTCAGTACATGGCATGGACTGCATTGGTAAGGATAATTTATATATAAGCTGCATAATTTGGTTTATAGTGTCATAATTTAATTTTCTGTAGAAGAAAGACAAGAAGCCTAAGAGGTCAACCTGGAAGTTTAATTTGGACCTTACTCATCCAGTAGAAGATGGAATTTTTGATTCTGGGAATTTTGTAAGTATTCTGCTTAGCTTCATATTATTTTCTAATTGTAGAGTTCTTGATCATGGTTTAAGCACATACTATTTGATATTAACCTAAGCTGTATTCCTAGGGCACCTTCCCTAGTGAATGTCTAGGGTTTTCTTCCCTAGTTTTGCAATTTTTGTTTTAAAATAGGAACAATTTCTACGGGAGAAGGTTAAAGTCAATGGAAAAACAGGAAATCTCGGGAATGTTGTTCACATTGAACGCTTCAAGAATAAAATCACAGTTGTTTCTGAGAAACAGTTCTCTAAAAGGTTGGTACTTGTTTTGCATTTTTTTAATGAAATTATAGTTGTGGAGTATTTATAGAATATGTAATCATTGCATTTATTCTGTTTATGTGCAAAAATAAATTTCCTTCATGAAAAGGAGATTCAGTAACTGACTGCCAGCTGCTTAGTTTGGTTGTCAATAAGTGTGATTTGTTGTTAGAATATAGGTAAGTCATATCCAGGACTCCTGTTACTGCATGGCAGCGCCGTAGGACTAGGTATCCCAATAGTGACTCAAGCAGATTACTCACCACCAAGGAACTTTTCCAGTGGAGAAAGGGAGACATTGAAATGCAGTATCAAGCTGCAATAAGTGCTGTGTAAGGGCATAAAGGGGGTTGCAAAGTTTCACCTAAATGCTTCACCTAAAAATGCTTCACCTAAATGAAATGCAGGAGTAAGCCTTGCAAATTGGGGCGTTGTTCCAGGCAGAGTGAACCAGAAGCCTGGTGGGTTAAAGTAATAGTAAGGAGGCCATTGTGTCTGGCTATATTGTATTTTAAGAGGATTAGATGAGGTTGGAGAGGTAGCTGGGGAGGAGATCTTGAAAGCCACGGAAGAAGGGCTGAGTTATTTCATGTGAATAGGTAGCCATTGATCACTGTGGCTGACAAAGACGGGTGGTGGACTTGGTGAAAACTGAAGATTTAAAAACTTACTGCAGCAAGAGAGGTGGTTTGGCCTAAAGTGGCTGTAGGGTATGTTAACTGAGGTTATGAGTTAATTGCTAAGGAATTAGGGATAAAAATGTAGAGGCTGTCCTCGAGGATCTTACAAACAGTTTAATTGGATATCGAGATAAAGATGTCACGGTTCATGAGCATAGTTTGCTGATGGAAGCAGCATTAGAAAGGGCAGGAAGAGTTGAGGGATCTTGGTTATCAAACTGCTTTTTATATGGACTGAGGCAGACGCAAAGGGTAGAATATTTGGGAGGGAAATGAGAACACAAAAGATGAATATGGTGCATGCTTTCCACTTAATAAGCCTTAATGAAATTCATGTTATTTTCAAGGTATTTGAAATACCTTACCAAGAAATACCTGAAGAAGAACAATCTTCGTGACTGGCTTCGAGTAGTTGCATCTGACAAGGAGACGTATGAACTTCGGTACTTCCAGATCACTCAAGATGAAGATGGATCAGAGTCTGAGGACTAGGTGAAGCCTCCCCTTAGTAGGGCTGTGCCTGCTAATAAATGAAGCCTACATGGAAAAGGAACGTCTAGAAATGGACTTTGAGTTCATCCATGAATAAAAAACACTGTGCTCTTAAACTTTAGTCTTGTTTTATTTAAGAGTATGCTGTTTACATGACTTCGATTTTTCCTTTGATAATTTCTATAAATAAACAAAGGTAGTAGAATTTTTCTCTGGATTTCCAAAAAGTATTGCTTTTGCAAATGTCAAGTAAAAATAGTGTTGTATAGGAAATCATATTGAAGCAGTTTTATATTGGCGCTGTATGGATGTATAAAATTCTCTTGACAGTCTTGTATAGTTTGTAAGTGCATAATAATAATAATACATAACTACTCAGTATTTATTGACTCTTGCCTTTTGCTTCTGAGGATGCTCTTTCCTAATGAGCATGAAGGCTTTGTGTGGGTGAGCATCAGTCCTGCTCTAAACCAATATCTAATTGCTCATTAGAAATATCTAACCAGATGCCTTGTAGGTACCAGAAACAAAACCTTCTAATCTGAACTCTTAGCCACTAAATCTATCGGTGCCTTTTCTGAAAAATCAGTTTGCTCTGTTGGAATGTCACACCATACTTTTCTCTCAATTCCCTCAAATAAAGTGGACTTGGAACTCTTAAAGTAAAATGGTCTGATAGAATATAGATTGCAGGAGGACTAAAGAGCATGATGTGCTTTTTTATACTTTTGAGCCTGAAGGTGGTGGTGTCAGCACTTGGGTGTAGTTACCTGGGCCCTTGTACCAGTAGAATTATGTTGCCTGATATGATTTGGCCATTGAACCAAATTTGTAGATTGATGTAATTGGTTTTAGAGTTGTTTAAAATGGTTTCCTTAAGAGGTTTAATTCTTTTTATTTACGTGGAAATAGCAGTGCTCCTTAGTGTACTGCCCGAGTGCAGCATCTGCTTGGTTGTTACTTGGATGACCTTTGTTTCTCTGGTCTATTTGACTTTCTTGTGTTTTTCACAAATAGTTGACAGGTACCTACTGTGTGCCTTCTCTGCTGCAAACTGGGGATGTGATAGTGAGTAGCCAGGGACACTCACTGACTAAACACATGAGAACAAATTCATTGCTATAAAGGAGAGGAGTTTGTAAAGGTAGTTGCATCAGGGAAGGCAAATGAAGTGCTGGAAAGGCCAGCAGGAAGCACATTCTAGGCAGAGGTAGTAGCGCCTCAGGAGTTCTCAACAAGGAGGCTTTTATGGCCTGAGCTGAATGAGTGGTGGAGAATGGACGTGAAATTAGAGAAGTAAAAGGGTGTGTTGGGGTGTGGAGGGTGCAGTGACGTATATTATCGATAAAACGTGGCAGCTGAAAACAAATGTATCACAGTTCCTGAGGCTCAGGGGTTGGAGCTGCTTAGCTGCATAACCCCGGCTCAAGGTTTCATGAGGTTGTAGTCATGTAAGAGTTAGCATATTACTGCATGTTTCTGTAAATAAGGTTTTATGGGAACACAAAATAAGGGTTTTTTAAAATTGGGAACAATGGCAAAATTGTTACAGTAGAGAGCATGTGACCTGCAAAACCCAAACTGTTTGCCACCTGTCCTCTTAAGAAAAAGTTTGCTCTAGGCCTGACAGGCTGGGGGATCAGCTGCCAGCACACTCACAGGGCTTTTGGCAGGAGAATTCAGTCCCTTGCTATGTGGTCTGTGCATGTGCTGCTGATGACATGGCAGCTGGCTTCCCCAGAGCAGGTGATCAAGGGAGGGGGAGAAAAGCCAAGATAGAATCCGCACGGTCTATAACCTAGCTTTGGAAATTACATGCTATCATCTTTATTTTAGTGATCACACAGACCAGTCTTGGAGAGAGTACAAATCCCAGGAAGTAGAGTTCATCATTGGGGCTGTCTTGGAGGCAGATGGCCACTGAGGATATCAAGTAGGGAGAGCTTTGCAGGTGGTTCAAGGATACTGGCTATTTTTCTGCGCACTAAGGGAAGCTACTGACAGACTTGAGCAGAGAAGAGCCATGATCTGACATATTTTAAATGAATAATTACAGTGGAGTATTTTGTGAGTTCTGGGAATTCAGAGAATCAGAGTATTCATTCTGAGCATGTGACTGTACAGTTGTGAAGCTGACTATTCTGAAGGGCTGAGAGATTCTCAGATTTTCTTTGCCTTGCAAGATCTCAATCTGAAACAACTGGGAAGTTTTTTGTTTTAACTTATTGTTTTCTTTTTTTATTATGGAACATTTCACTTACATATTTTAGTAGAGAAAACATGTTTAATCTATGTCCCCCCTCTTCCCACATCTTCAGATTATTTTAAGCCTCAGCACTGTGTCATTTCACCCATAAATTTATGTTTGTGTTTCTAAAATTTAGTGTCTAGAAGATAAGGATTCTTGAAACCAGGGGTCCCCAACCCCCAGCAGGTCCGTGGCTTATTAGGAGCTGGGCTGCACAGAAGGAGGTGAGTGGTGGGCAGTGAGTGAAGCTTCATCTGTGTTTACAGCCACTCCCATCACTAGCATTGCCACCTGGTCTCCATCTCCTGTCAGATCAGTGGCAGCATTAGATTCTCATAGGAGCGTGAACTCTTGTGAACTGCATATGAGGGATCTTGGTTGTGCGCTCCTTATGAGTATCTAATACCTGATGAATCCGTGATGGAGCTCAGGTGTTGATGCTTGTGCTGGGAAGTGGCTGCAAATACAGATTAATGTTAGCAGTGAGGTTTGACTGCACAGAGACCATCATAAATCAGTTGCTTGCAGACTCATATCAGTGAGTGGCAAGTGAGTTGATGTACTTCAGTCGTACAGCTGGCAGGCTTTAAGTCAGAATCCAACACTTATTTTAGTCTGTGCGTGGCCCACCCTTTATTTTATTTACCACTTCTGTCCATGCTTCTTTCCTGCACTGCATACTTGTCTTAGTCACAGTTTTGGTAAGCCTACAAACTAACCCTAGGCAAAATGAGTAAAAAACATCACTGAAGAGCTTCTTTGGAAAGAGGGAAAGATCCAATGATGAGACAGTAGAAAATTCTAAGACTGCCAACAAAAAGCTGCATTTAAAAGAAAATACTGAGTCCTACTTAAATTGAGTTTGTTACAGCATGTGAATCACATTTCTTCAAGCCCACTTTTATACTATGTGGTGACTGGCTATCCAACGAAGCCATGAAACCTTCAAAACAGCTTTGCTGCATGGAGTCCAAGCACTCAGCATTAAAAGACAAGCCTTTGGAGTTGTTCAAAAGAGAAAAATGTGATCAAGAACAGAAGCAGTCATTGTTGGCCATCACTTCATCACATGTGTCTCCACGGAGAGCATTATTCTTGGTGGCTTACCAAATTGCTAAAGCTAAGAAGCCTTCACTACTGGTGAAGAGTTGATCTGCCTGCTGCTAAGGACATTGGTCATGAGTTTCTAGAAGAGGCTGCAGTTCAAATGATGACACGTTTCTCTTTTGGCTAGCCATAACTAGACAAATTGATGAAATAACAGCATATTGAGGCACAGTCGTTAGGATTAATGAGTCACCACGGTACACAATCCAGGTTGATGATGTTGACAACAAGGCAGCAGTGCTTGTTTCTATGTGATGTATTTTTCAGAAGGATGTGCATGAAGTTATGTGCACGTTTGTTGCCAGTCAGTACCGCTGCAGAACTTTTTAGGTCTTTGAATTATTACATATCAGGAAAACTGAATTGGTCATTTTGTGGTGGTGTGTGTATGGCTAGAGTGGCTGTCATGACTGGTTGACTTTCTGGTTTCACTGCTTGCGTCAAAGAACCCACTTCTGAATGTTAGTCACTAGGGAAATGCTAGCTAGCTAAAAAATGTCACTTGAACTTAACATTTTGCAAGATGTGATTAAAATTATAAACCACACTAAAGTACATGCCCTTAACTCACGCCTGTTTGCATAGCTCTGTGAGGAGATGGACGCAGAGACACTCTACACAGAAGTGAGATGGCTAAAGTTAGATAACTAGCCAGAGTTTTTGAGTTATGAGAGCCACTCCAGAGATTTCTTTTAGAAAAACTGGCAGCACGTTTCATTGACACAGAGTGAGTCACAAGACTTGCTTAATTGTGTGACATAGTCAACCTGCTCAAACTCAATCTGGGAAGAATGACAGCTGTATTCAAGTTGGCAGATGGAGTGGCTACATTGAAAACCAAACAAATTATGGGGGTGGCAAGTGAACATTGGGATTCTTTGATGTTTCAAACATTAGCAGAGATTTTGAAAGAGACTAAGCCAGAGCCTTCTATCTCCCAGCTGGTGCATCACCTGTCCTAGCCTTCAAAAGAGTTTGAGCATTACTTCCCAACTACAAAAGACCCCTGAACTGGGAAGGAATGGATCCACAACCCATTTATGAATAAGCCAGGTGAATCTACTGTGCTAGAAGAGGATCAACTGTTTGAGATCACAAATAATGGGGGACTTCAAAGTATGTTTGCAACAACTTCAAATCTCCATGTGTTCTGGATTAAAGTTAAGGCAGAACATCCCGAGGTTGCCACAAAAGCACTGAGAAGCTTGCTTCCATTTCCAAGATTCTGTCTTTGTGAAGCAGGGTTTTCTGCAGCAACATCAAAACAAGATTGCAGAGTAGACTGGACATCAGTAACATACTTTGGACATCACTGTCTCCCATCACCCCCAGGTGGGATGGTCTGGTTGCAGGAAAACAAGCTCAAGGCTTCCACTGATTCTGCATTATGGCGTGTTGCATAATTATCTCATATATTACAACGCAATAGAAATAAAGTGCACGATAAATGTAATGTGCTTGAATCATTCCGAGACTACCCGTAGCCCCCTGTCTGTGGAAAAATTGTCTTCCATGAATCCAGTAACCCCTGCCTCCTTTTGATGAACAGGTACCTCATGTTTCCCTGTCCCCAGTTCTAACTGCCACCCTCATCATCTGATGCATTGATGTCCTCGTCAGCCAAGGTATTTGGGAGCTTTCTTGTTCAAACAAAAAGTTTCTCTTTGTAATTTTGCCACTATAAACTTACAGTGTTGAATTTTTATTTTTATGTGTTTTTTTTTTGAAAGCAAGGTTTATTGAGAAGACAGAAAAGCTCCT